TGGTCGTTTGTACCAAAAAAATGACCGTTTGTGCCATAGTTACATGCTCATTTGTACCATAGTTACCTAGTTAATTTTAGTAAAAAAATGGCCGTTTGTGCCAAAAAAATGGCCATTTTGACGCGTTACCGACAGACAGGCAGACAGACACAGGTGAATTTCGGTTTCTAGACCCTAGCCTTTCAGTCTAGGGAAAATGCATATTATTAATAAAGCAAAATATTTGTTCTTAATTTTAGTCTAGATATATTCTGGATCATTGTCTTTATCAGTCGAAAAATATCGAATTGGAATATAAAGATGATAATGTGAGTATAAATATACTTGAAAATTTTTTCGATGCACCACAATACTTGACAAAGAAAATAAAACAATTAATCCATGAATTAGCTTTCCAAGCGATGCTGATTGTTTTTCAGTGCCTTGATAATGCTCATACTTTGATAACCGATCAAAAACCACAAATGAAAATGATTACAGAAAGATACAATTGTCAAATCGATTTTATCGATGTAAAAATTCAAAATGAAATTATTATTTTACCAAAAAGTATAAATTCATCGACAACAGAATTAACACCGAGATATTTAATTGAACAATCGAATCAATTCTATTCAAGTATAGCAATATTGAAAAAAGTATCTATTTCAAATTTTGAAATCGAAATTCATCGAACAGCGAATAGTCGTGTATCAAAGGTTAGTCTTCTTTTTCTTGTCTGATAATCATCTATTTTCTCACACAATAATTTCAGATAGATATCCTAATTATTACAACGGCTAAAGATGCGATAAAAGAAAGTATTGATCCAACAAGTCGCGGTCTTTATTTTGAGAATGATATTGGTAGAGGAATTTTATTTATGCCATGGACACCATTTACTATATCGAAGCTTGATATAAATCAGACGAATAATGATTTTAGAAAATCAATAAATGGTTTTATTTGGACAACATTGAAAAAGTGAGAACATTTTGCAAAAATCATATCAATACTATTTGGTTTTCAACGACCGATTGGGAAAATTTTCATTCGTTTGGAGAACAATTTGCTAATGAAATACTTCATTCATTGAAAGTTGAACTTGAAACAAGTGAATATTCGAATTATAAATGGAAAATTCTTTTTATTTTCGATGATCAACAAACTGATCTCTATGATCGGTTTTCACAAGCAATCTCATCGATACAAACAAATCACAATATTGATGAAGAATTTTATTATCCAGTAGCAAGTATGTAATTTACATTTTCAATTCTAAATTTCCTAAAATCACACCAAATAAATTTCACATTGTAAAGAAAAAAGCTGTTAGCACAATCTCTCTGAGATTAAGGGGTGGGTGTGGGTGTGGGGTATGATGTGACAGAAGAGGAAATCCACCCACACCCATCCACACATCACACCCACATCCATATCCACACGCACACCCCACACCTACGCCACACCCACACTCACACCTACACTCACACTCGCACCTTAGTTTGAAGGATCTATGCTTTGAAGTAACATTCTAATTGTCTACAGCACCCGTTGGAAAAGTATAAGAAATGTCAATACTTTTAGCGAAACAAGCATAGTTGATTCTCTTCTTTGTTACGACATTCCTAGTCTTAATAATTGTCTCAATGCGAAAATGGCAAAGGTAGATAAGTCTGCACTCCTATAACTCTGAAAAATTATTCAATTGATTGATATGAGTTCGTCAGTAATAAAGTTCGATGAATTGTAAATGTCGGTCATGGCGATGTAAGTAAGTAAAGCAATTCTACCGAAGTTTTTTTTTCTGACAACAAAAAATACACAGTTTAAAGTTTTCTTTATCTAGTGAAGAATCCTGTTATTTGAGACTACTCAACAAATTTCATCAGTAGACTTTCTTGAAGTGTAAAGAGTCCTATAATTTATGCGCTATGCTTACGACCGAATCGACAAACAACATATTGCACGTTCTGAACGATATTCTCGTTACAACAGATCGTTCGAGAAAAACAGACAGCGGATGAAAAGTTTGTCGAGTAGATACAGAACAACTGCTTTCATTTACTTTTTATGAACATTATAGGCCATCTGACCAGACAGAATATGACGACACAGTTGACCTATGTTTACGTCGACAGCTGCTAGTATTTGTACGTAAAAGTATGGCATTGAACTTCGATGTTTAGCATTGTTTTCTATTGGTCTCTGTCTTTTCCACTTCTCGTATAAATCTTGAAGACTTACGAATACTAGCCTATTATAGCATCCTTTTTTCATTGACGTAGAGAATAACGAAGGAAAAAACTACAACAAATCAAATGAATCATGAATGACATACATATTGTGAAATAACATGCATAAACAAATGTTAGGTGATTATTTCATGTTTACTAATAATGACGATAGCATCAAAATACCATCTACATTTGAAACTTTGCCTGATGAAATCTTAATGATCATTCTACAATATTATGGTAATGTTTGTAATATATTCCGTACATTTCTTGGATTAAATCAACGTCTGAATAACATGCTTCTTGATAGACGTTTGCATTTATTCACTGATTCTTTTATATATGCACCATGGTGACACCAATAGCGATTATTATTACAATTCTACATTGGTTCATGATATATCTCAACAACTATCATCTATGACAATAACTAAAAGTGATGAAGTACTTCGGCAATGTCTTCAATCGTTAGTTATTTTTCATATAAAAGAACGATCTAATCGATTGAAACATGATTTTCAATCTCATATGGAACGTTTTCTATTTATTCGTTCACTTCTGACGAATGATGAAATGCAAAATATCGACAAAGAATTAAATAAATCATTCAACAATTTACAAAAATGTCCCAAATCTATCAAGAACATGGAACAAATTGTATCACTTATTTTAACAAAAGGTGCTCGTTTTAAATGTGATGATATCGAATCCTGTGAATTTAATCTTGCTAAAGCAATTAATCAATTGTTACTTGCAAAGCTTAACATAGCTCAATATTCTAGTCAGTAGTTGATCGATTCTCTCATCCAAATGTTCAAAACACTCATTATTTCAAATCCGAATCTTTTAAAAAATTAAGATTATTTTTATCGTGATGGTTTTTGTGTTCATTTTTTTCTATGCTATTCAATCAATGTAACAAATGACATGTGTACTGATCGAACATTGATTTCTATCAATATGCAATATTATCAAGCTGCCATCGATTTACTTCTTTTTATCATACAATGTTTGAAACATGTATTTAAACAAGAAGTTTGGGCGAAAGTATGTCTTTTGGATATATTAAATATGATCATTCCGAGAAATATTGTTAGAAATCATGAAATCTTTTTTGACGCAAGTTTAATCGGACTATTAGATCTAATACTCAACGAATATAGTCTAGAAGATAAAATACTATTAGATAAAGACTTTGGTGATATATTTCAAAGAATTCTAGATAATCTTATCGAAAACAATCAACTTCATACACTGTTATCTATTTATGATGCAAATGAACACATACAAAATATCTTTCGAAATTCATGGAATAATCAAAAATATGTAAATATAATGACAAGAAATCGAACAGCAAGACAATTTTTTAATGCTCTATTAGATGACCATCTATTTAGAACATGGTTAACAAGTACAGATCTTTTATTTATTTTATTACAGAAGAAAGAATGTAAAATTGTAAAAAAACTATTGAAATTATCACCGTCAAATGTTCATCAAATTGATGAAAATGGTAATGATCCATTACTTTATATCTGTCTGAAAGTACGTGGTTGTCGAGAATTCTTAGTCGAATTTCTAATCGAGATGGGATGTGATTTGCAAAGAAGAAATTTAAAAGGTGAAAATTTGATTGATGCACTACAATTGGAAAGAAATCGACAACTATTGGAAAGATTAATTGAACGAGAAGTTATTCAAATTGATAATATTTCAGGCGAAATAACATCTAATTCTTAGTTAAGTGATTCATTAAGTGACAAATTTAGCGCACATGAAAACGAACTTTCGTATATGTTCAGAATAAAATTACAAAATATCTTATGTTCTAGAGATTGAAACGTTTATCTTATTTTCTTTCAACTTTCGAACACAATCATCGAAGACGTTCAAATGTGCTTGAGAAACATATGATATTGACTTTTTTCTTCGAATATTTACTACCTGAATAGAAAAAAAATTTGATCTTCAGTCTGATCGATTGCGTTTCTCGGTCATGCTACTTTGAATAATGAAATTGAAAATAGGTCAGAATTGGATGAATCAAGTGCAAATTGCTTCTATCATGCTCATAGAAAATAGGATAACTTTTATATTTTGATATAAAATTCATGTGTCAAATCAATACCTAAATTCACATTGAACTTATGATTCTTTTCTTCTAAAATCGATTGAGTTAAATTGCTTTTTAACTCAAAGGAGATTTCTCGTTGTAATTGTGATCAAATATGTCATTTTTGATGAAAATAAAGTTGCATGCGTAATAAACTTATATTGTATTTTGATTGAAAAGTAGAAATTGAGATAAAAAAAAGAATACTATTAAACAATATATAATCTACTGATAGAAGGTGTGATCGTTATATGAAGAGGACAAAAATATATTATCAACTTTTAGTCTAATTTCATGTGCTCATAAATCATATTGGTTTTGCACCAAAGAATTTCTGTCATAAATCTAGTATCACCGATTTCTTCTATAATTACAAATAGGATACAATGTAAAGAAAGCTTACTCATTGTAACGCTGTTTTTCTCCTTATAATAGTGAAACATGTCAACATTAGTAGTGTTTTTTGTAATCTCAGTTATGATAAATAAACTTTTATGGATCCACTCTCTTCTTGGCGCAAAATATGACCAACCAAAACATTACTACATATATACAGTCACTGCAAATATCAAGTTTCAAATTTCAAATACACACATTTCTCTCAAGATGAGTATCATAGAAATATAGACGATTGAATTTTAAAAGTTAAAATTTAGACCTTGATACTCATAATTTGATTCTTTAATTCAATTCAAGTTCCAAATTTGTCCCTACTGAAAATGTAATAGGGAGCACCTTAATGGGTTATATGCCTGTATTTTTTATTGGCTCTCATTTTTCGTTCGTTCTTTTCTCCTTTTTTTTCTCTGTATTTTTCAATTTCTTCTCACCCATGGACTGTGCATACTATCATGACAGTTGACAACAAAATCACGCAAAGTAACACAGACTGATCGTCACATTTTATTCTATGTAAAAGGTATTGATATTATTTCGAATTTTTATTGGATAGTTATGTGCTGCTGGCGATTTACTAAATTGTCGCTGAGTTGAGTTTTCTTACATGTACTTTATCTAAACAGTTTAAAACATATTGAAAAATCTCTACACTTTACTCTAATAGGGTAAATCAACGGTAGTGGAATAGTTATAAAAAATAATTTCAATCGAAAAATTTTCACATTATATGCTCTCAATAAATTGTATATTCAAGGTAGCAATTGACAGTAGTGTATTTCACTATCACCTACGCTTACCTTTTTTCTTTCTGTCCTCTAAACACATTTTACAATTATTAACTCGTTCTTTTGATATACTCGTTAGAACAGGTAAAATACGCTCAACATCACGTCGCATAATATTGATTAATCAATGATTTAGAGAAAACATAAAAAATTGACTAAAGTTCATCAAAGTTGCAAGAGAAATATGATGTACAAAACAATTTTTAAAAATTAGTTTTTCTGACATAAATAGCATGCGTCTGTGATTCATTGTATTTTTATACAAATAAACGTGATTTGTAAATGTAACGAAAACGAAAGTAGGATGGCATTTATTGGTAACTTTCATTAAGCATGTTGAGGTTACTATGATAGTCTTTAGTAGCTAAGTGACTAAAAAGAAAATAAGATAATGATCTATACATCGAAACTTGTAACTTACTTAGTAACACACAAATTTCATGACACTGCTTTTTTTAAAAATATACCTAATTAGCTAGCTTAAGAATGATCACGCAAGAAAAGTTTGATCAAACATTTCTTTGAGAAATATTGTGGATAAAAGGGATACATTCAAATAGATGTGATCAAGTAACTGGAGTGAATAGACTGTCTACGCAGGAGAATAGTAGCAACTTGTGAAATCATTTCTTTCATTTTTATTTTTTCTCGATCTTCTCGAATATGGATGTTGAAAATAAACACAACTCGTTTACTTCTGCTCATTACTTTTTGGAAGAACGCAACATTCTTCTGATTAAATAGTCGATGTATCCAATAAACTATATTTCAATCACAGTGATGTCATATTTCTTAGTAAAACGTCTTTTTTTTATAATTCGTATTATCGTTTGATTGGAATAAATCTCAAATACAGGTGTGCTGAAAAAAAATATAAAATTTCGAGGTTCATATTTTTAATAAGAAATCTATTTCATTACAAGTAGTTCAAGATTGAACTAATTGTCATCGAATTAATATTTCATTAGTTGAGGGTAAATTTAATAATGAAGCATTACACTTATATTATGTACTACCGCTGACTGTTATCTTTGATGTTAGAGTCCTTGGGAGTAAACAACATTTTGAAATGATAACCGAGCGAAAAAGAAGATCACCTCTATTCGAGATTCGACCATTCATTTTCTACTATTCCAGCAAACTTTATAAAGTAATAAGAGTAGAAAAAGCTCTCCATTTATGAGTGGCTGAGAAAACTCAAACTCTTACAAAGGTTGTTCTCATCAATGATAAATGCACATCTATCTTTCTTTTTCTCTTTAGATTCTACTCTTTTTTAGCACCATCCTAATGCTTAAATTTCCTTCTCCATATGATAATGTCCTTCCACACCAGATTCAAGTTATATTTCCAAAAGATCTTTCACCAAAAGAACCTACTCTTGATCGAGTGATTGGTTCTCTCGTTGGATTGGCTATAGGTGATGCACTTGGAGCCAGTGTTGAGTTTCGTCCACATGAGTATCTTCAAGACAATCCTGTTACTGAAATGCAGAGTGGCGGGACGTGGGGTCTTAATGCAGGTCAATGGACCGATGATACATCTATGGGACTTTGTCTTGCTTCATCACTAATTGCTAAACAATGTTTTGATCCTTATGATCAAATGGTTCGTTATAAATGGTGGTATAAATACGGCTTTCTCTCGTCTACTGGACAATGTTTCGATATTGGTGATGGTACTCGTGAAGCGCTTGAAGAGTTTTGCCATCGTCAAAGCTTTCTAAAAGAAATCTATCGTTGCAAGACGGACGAAGAAGTCGATCAACTTCCACTTGAGAAAGTTCTCAATGCCAATGGTTTTAGTTTGAGCTGTAGTTCAGCGGGTGCCGCTGGAAACGGAGCTCTCATGCGTCTCGCTCCTGTGCCACTCTTTTATTTTCGGTCACCCACAGAAGCCGTTAGCTATGCTGGACGCAGCGCTATATTAACACATGGAAACATAATAGCGCGCGATGCTTGCCGATACTTTGCAGCACTTATCGTTGCGGCTGTAAGTGGTGAGTCCAAAGAGAAACTCTTAAGTAATAAGTTTTATAACGATCACAAAGCTTGGTTTGGATCGGAAAATATTCATCCAGAAGTACTTGAGGTAGCTCGGGGCTCCTACAAACAACCTCGTGGATATGATGATGGAATTCGAGGTAATGGATATGTAGTGAAAGCGCTGGAAGCTGCTCTTTGGGCCTTTTACTATGATCAGAACTCATTCAAAACGGGTGTTCTAGCCGCAATTCAGCTCGGAGACGATACTGACACAACGGCAGCCATCTACGGTCAATTGGCCGGTGCTTACTATGGCTATCAAAATATCCCAGAAAATTGGCGACGACAGCTCTATGGTGAGCAACTGATTACCAGTATCGGTCATTGGTTACATTTTCTTGGAAAAGAGAAGACTAATACTCAACAGCAACCATCAATGCTAGTTAGACAACATCTAATACCTACTACAAACTCTCAATCACAACATTGGCAGTTAAATTCCACAATGTCTTTGCCCGACGGAATAGAACAGGATACATCTATTGTTGACTTTGCCGACGCTCATCTACAATCCTACGTGTCAACATCACCTAAATTGCTTCGACAAAACAATCCTCATGGTGTTCATAATCTCGTTGATACAAATTATAATACCGACTGGAAACAGTCATATCTTAATTCAACGGCCGATGCTGGGTTACCCAGATTTCGCAGAATTATCAAATCAATCATTAATTCTAAGCCACCGTATCATTTTAGCAAAAGCTCTCATTATTAGCGGCATTGACAATTATGTCTAGCGATTCAATTAGTTGCACAAGTCGCTTTTGAAAGTTTGATCCACAAGAAATAACACATATAACTTTAAAAATAAACAACGTTGTCTAATGTCTTGAAAGAAAATATATAATTGTATGGTATATCTTATAATCAATAAAATGAACAAGTTCTAAGGTACAAGATAATCTTGTAATAAAGGTCAAATTTCGATTCCGGAGCAATTCTAGAGAATTTAACTGAATATATGGAAAGATCCTATGAGATATGGTTGATTTCTGCGACTTCCAATAAGAATGAAAAAATGTGCAACATCAGGAAAGCCTATGAAACTGATGCAGCTTATACGATACAGTTAACCTTTAGCAGCCATGATCAGATATGTTTTATTTTTTCGTCCCTTGTACTAAAAATTTTTGGAATTTTAGAATGCGCTGGTCGTTATATCACTATTTCATCGAACTATCGATTGAAGCAAAAGTCAAGAATAAATGTGACGGATCGAACGAAATTTTTCATATTTCATTTTAATTCTGAAAACCTAAGAAATCAGTCACCGGTGAATATTATCCATCATCATCAGAACAAACATACCGGACAATGAGTCTTTATTCTGGCGATCAAAAACAAAACTCGCATGGCCATAATTATTCTTTCTATTTGTCCAATAATTTAGATTTA